CCTAAAATACACAGTTTGAAAAATTAAGGAAGAAAAGTGCATGGCAAAAATGTGTTTTAGGTTTTACCAAACCCAAAACATTTGAAGAATCATTTGCAATGGTTGATGAACCCTAAACGCCGCCAAGTTGGCCCATTTTTATATAAAAGAAAACAATAGAAAAGCTTCCTAAAAACCACATAACCCACTGATACTGTATTTCACTCAAAAAAGTATTAGAAACTGACACCAAAGAACTGCGGGGTTTGTAGAAAAGTAAGGTGGGAGTAGGGCATGACATGACAAAAGTTTGTTAATTTAATTGGCCTTGTGGGGGGAAGGGTTAGGGTGTTTCTTGGGGGTAGGAAAGGAGTAAGGGCAGTACTTCTTTGCAAAGAAAACTTAATTAGAAGAACCTGGGCCAAATGTTAATTCGCCTCACATCGTGAGCAGATGGTAGTATTTCCTTGGCATTTCATATTCCAACTCAGTATTCCTAGTGCCTTCTGCACAGGGAGGAAGGTGTTGGTAATGTACCGTCTGGGGGTGGAGGAGACGTAGATGGTCCACATTTCCTCACATTCTGTATCGTTTCCATGTCAAGAGAGCACAATCTTCCTAAAGACGGCTGAGGACCGGGTAGACCAGCGGGTGGCTCATACCTGTGATCCCAGCAGGAGAACTGCTCGAGGGAAGGAGCCAGAAACCAACCAGAGCAACATATAAGAGTCTGTCTCTGTAGAAGTAAGTTTCAAAATCTGTCTGGTGTGGTAACACACGCCTACAGTCCCACCTACTCAGGAAGCTGAGGTGGGAGGATCACTCAAGCCCAGGGGGTTAGGGCTGCTGTGAGCTAGGATCATGCTACTCTACTCCAGTTCCAGTGACAGAGAGAGATCTTGCCTCCAACAAACAAACAAAACAACAACAACAACAACAAAACCCAGAAGGCTGCCACTGCAGTGGAAGCCCTTGCTGAAGTTAAATGGTTTTCTTCTCACAAAGTGTTTTGTTGAGGTCAGTAGCCTGGCCCCCCAGCTCCAGGCATCACTAAGAATCTTGCCTCACATTCCCTGACAAATCCAGCCTTTGATGGCCTGTGAAGTCAAGCCCTCCACTCGTGCCGCCATTCAACCATGCCTGCAGGAAAATCAGGTCTAACATCAGTGCAGAAACCCACAGAAAACTATACAGGGCCTTATGCCTTCTCTAGTGGAGACCAGCCACTGAGACATGTTATTGTGTTCGTTCAAGAATCAGTAACAACTGGAAGAGAGACAGGCTGCATTTAGACAACTGTGTTGCCGCGGCCTCAGTTTTCTTGTAAGGAAAATGGAAATACTCCCTGGATGTAGTTGCTGATTCCCTCAGAGCAAGAAAAACTTGCCAGTGACTAGGTAGTGCACAGACCCTTTCAGCAACTCAAGGAAGAATAACACCAACGTTTGCAGAGGTTTTTGTTGGTATTTGGAAATTTAGACGGTCACAAATACACATCCATCCATTGCTATGCTCTCTGACCCTCTGGAAGTGCATGACCTCCCTGAGTCGCTGCTTCACACCAGCCCCTCGGAAGCTGAGACCTCCCCTGAGGAAAGGTTGGGAACATCTATGATGGCTCTGATTCTGAGCTTTATAAGAAACTTTGCTTGAGAGAGCAGATATATGAGAGGTGCCAAACGAAAACCAACTACCACACACACACACACACACACACACAAAAGCAGAGAAATAATTTGGGTAGCCTAATGATGTCTATTAATTCCCTGACAAAAGTCTAACCATTCTACAATGGTTCACACACATTCCAACTTATGATTTCCACATGGGCATGGCAAACAGTATATCAATTTCAATGACATTAGGAAAAAAAATTATGTGTACAAATATTTCTAACAGGTTAAAATAACCTCTCCTGCGGAGATCTGCAATGAGGTGACAAAATGGGCTCAAAAAACTTGACATCCAATTCAGACTAAATTCACAGGTGGAGAAAGATGGGTGATGGTATCTGAAAGAGAGAAAAGGCACCATGCAATGTTGTATACGCTACTATCTGAACTATGCTGCTGAAAGAGGCTCAGGACCCCCCCCCAAAAAAAACTAAAGACAATATGAAAAACATTAATAGTGATCGCACTGGGGGGACGTTTTTGTACTCTAAAGACATTTTTGAAAAAATTTTCCATTTTTCTACAATAAGCAACTAATGCTTTTATTATTGGGAGAAGTTAAAAGATTAATGGGAATTAGGTGTGGCAAAAAGAGTGTAAATTAATATGAACCGAAAGGTTTACTAAACCAGTCTCTACTAAATTTTTTTTTTTAAATATGACTAAACCCCTCTGCCTCTGTTTTGTCAGGAATCCTGTTTCCTTTTCACTCAACTCTGTGTGATCTCGGATAAGAGCCTTGATGGACAAGGAGCCAAAAATCCTCCATTCTAGTCCCAATTTTCTCACTCTCGGCCCGTGGCCGCCAGTCAGGAGCACCGCTCTCGGCCTCATTTGATTTGTCTGCACACCAGATGACCAGACAGAAGAAGAGGAGGTAGGAGACGGTGGAGAGGAAGAGAACTGGGAATCACACCGTCAGTTCCTCTGTTAGCATCAGATGGTCTAATACATTAACAAGCAGCGACTAACTGGTCACCAGCCTTTCTTTAGTCTCTTCCTTAGTTACCGGGTAAACCAGGCTCTTCGACGTGGGCTCTTTGCTTCAATTTTTTCCTCACGATATTTTTAATAAAGCCAGACAACCAAAAGTAATGTAGACATCTCTTGTGTAAACCGAGGCTTTCCTGAGAAGTGATAAATCCCAAAGGCTGTGGAAATCTGAGTTCTAATCCCAGTTCTTCTCCTCCACTTTTTTATCCGTGTGTTTGGCAGGAGGCTCTCAGTGTCTTTTGTTTCCAACCTTGTTGAAGAAATGATATTGGGGCTATAAGAGCTAAGACAACACAGATTCCCAGTGGTGGTTAGGGGTGAAAGTGCATGGTAGAGTGCAAAATATCCTGGATATTTGCCATGTAACAAGTAAGAAATTAATATGTAAGACACAGTAAAGAAATATGGGGAAACATGCCCGTATTCCTGTGGAATTTTCCATTGCTTAATGTTGGAATGATTCCTGCCCGACCACCAACTCCAGAATCAGCCAGGCTTCTTGAAGTCAAGGATTAATGGAAAAGAGATCAAGTTCTAGCAATGCTACTTATAGAACTTGTATATAACACACAATAGTACACATCATACCATACAAGATAATACTCTTATAATGCAGGAAACGAGTGGTTTCACTTACAGACACAGATTTGTGTTATTTTTATTATGACTGACTAAGATAAGGTACCGGGAAATGCCAACAGAATCCAGACTTGCCCCTAACAGAAGTGGCCAGGGTGGGCATTTACTTTCATTAAAACTTTCAACCAAATCACCTTCCTAAAAAGCTTTTCTATGGCCCCCAACTACTAATGTTAAAAACTGCAGAGATAAATACGTCTGATGCTACTTCTAAATTGTGGGAGAAGTTTATATGCTATGAATCTAGGCACATCGAAGACGACTCTATCGATATAAGTCCATGATTTTCGTGCAAAATCACATTCACGAATGTCAGTACTTGGAAATTAAACGTATTAACTTCTTGTAGGAAGCACTTTCATTGTTTTCATGTTATTTTTCAGCTGAGGTTTAAAGCCACCTCTTATTTATTTTTATCCCAGGATATGCTATAGGAATCTATGAAAGTTAATTACGTTGACTGTTACAAAAAAGGATTTATAAACTTTTGCCTTTAGGCAGAAATGTTTATTCCATTGCCTTCGCTATCCATTCTTTTCAACTCCAAGGGCTTTGAACTTTTCAGCTGCTCAGAGTTATCACCGTTGTGCAGAGCCCAGGAACTCCACTCTCAAGACAGACACCACAAGTTGAAGAAAACGAAGAAGGCAAAGATATAGGAGTCGTTATTTTGGCCACCCTTTGTGCCATTAAAATCTCATTTTCTGCCTATTAGAATGCCCTCTTGGTGCTTAGGCAGCGGTGATAGTCGGTGATTAGTGTGTAATTGAGGATAATTGTCTTTTCACTTTTCATTTGTGTCATTCTGAGCTTCTCTCTGTTTTCCGAACCACCAAGAGGAAAAAGGGGGTTGAGAAAAGATAAAGCTGTTAAAACTCTCCCTCTCAGCCCCGAAGAGATTCTTGATTGCAATTATAGATTGCAACCCCTTTGTGACATTTCTCCAAATTTAGTGGGCAGCTATCCTCACCACCTGGGCTAAGCACTCTAATAAAATCAAGTGATCTGTATTTAAACAACTGCTAATAATATCAACCTCAGACAGATGCCACATGTAGGAAATTTAACCAACCCTCTGACATGCAATTATCAGGGCAATTTATTAATATGATCTCCCCAAGAAAAGCTCACAGTCCAATGCAAATTAGAAAAACAATTATGACATTCCAACATCTATATATTCCCAAAGAGCAGCAAATCTCCCAATTGGTGCATTTATTACTCATTTATTCCAGAGTTGGTAGTCATCAGCTGGGGCTCTCCACATGACTTGTTTGCTTCCTCGCCGAGTGTTTTGTCAAAGCTTTGGTGTTTCTTTATGAGGTGCTTTTGCTCCAAA